AGTAATGGTGGAGAAAGATAGTCTTACTTTGCCCCCATCCTGGCTTTCAGCCAAAGCTATGTAAAATCGTATTCCATTAGAAGCAATACATACGTGATAGCTTGTTTCTTGTGATTAGGAATCAAGCAAATGATATCGGTTGTTTCCCTTGATAAATTCTGGGGAGGTGCACACTATTGAATTTGTTCATAATTAACAACAAAAAAGGAGCAATAAAAAGATAATCTGTAAAAGAAACACCATTCCGAACCTCAGCCTCTCTGCAAAAGTTTCTAAGATATTCTAAAGTTTATGCTGTTAAGTTTTGTATGTTAAGTGGGTATGTAAACAAAAAGGACTGGAAACAGTCAACTCAAGCATCTCCAGGTTTATTTCCTGTAAGTACACTTGAGTGAGAAAAAAAGACGACAAATAAAGCACTTGATATTAATAATAAATGGAGAAAGTCTCCCAATTTGCTGTTTGGACCAGTCAAAGTCTGTAAGATTATCATCATATTAATAACAAACAAAGCACATGAAAACATATCTTGACTGCTAGTTAAAAGACTAGTTCAGTAAAACAAGCCTCTGTTTATCACACTTTTTACTCATAACATCTTGGAGATGGTGAGCTCCAACTTGAGTTTTGTCCTGTAGATCTGTACAAGAAAACATCTACACCCCTTTGTTGATTTTGTACAATTTCATACCTGTATCACCAATTTGGTATTTGTGGAATGATGCCGAAACAGTCTTTACAATGCAACTTTTAAATGAAAAAGTGTCATTTCAGATCCTTTCACAGAAATTTACCTACAAGAGATATGACAATAAACTGCATAGTCAGATCATTTACAGTAGCACAGAAGCATTACCTGACAACATGTACTATTCTGAAAGTAAAAAAGCATTTTCTTTTCGGTCCTGCCAGTCCTCTTTTGCTTAGCAAATACATAGCTGAATGACAGAAACAAGCACTTTTCACAATAAGTGAAAACAGATGCATTACTTAAGAAAGGAATGCAGCTCTTGATTCAGAGTCGGAATCATCTCTTGCGTACTTCAAAATCCAACATTCTACAATATATTTGTCCTTGTCCATTGTGTGCAGATGTTTTGGATGACAGAATAGCTTTTCGCATTTCAGATACGAAGTTCAGTACAAGTATGACAATAATTATAACCTTTCATTGGTAATCACTCATCAAAAATTATATGCATTCATTCCTGTACATCTTAAAACATCTGAATTTGTTGTGCTTCAGGAAGCACATTTCAACATGACAAAGGGGTTTTAGCTTCCAGGATAACATGACACGTTAAAACGAATCTCAGTTCAGAGTATCCAAAGATATTGCATCTCTAGCAGCAAAGTGTCCTCCTCCCAGTCTGCTGGGATGGTTCAGGATGAAATTCTGGTCTTAGGCTTAAACTTTTATTTTCTAGTCTTTCAATCTGCTAAAAAACTACAAATAAATTGCTATAATTAATTTGATCATACATTGCTTTTAACTGCTTATAACAAGAAAGACTAAGAAAATATCACCCGTTTCTTTTTCACTGTTGCTTTGGACAGTCGTATCTCCTGAGTCATAGGATCCTGGTTTATGTACCAAGACGTAAATTCAAGTTAGCATTCAGTTATTTCGATGGCATAAAACCTGTAAAAATGCAGCTGCTTGAGTAGGAGCGCTGTGATCCAAATGGTAAAACTGCCATTAATTCAGATGGAGATTCATTTAATTGTGGAATTCAAGGCAATTCTGTCTTCTAGGAATATTTGAAAGCCCAATGTTGTTTTTATATAAAAAAATGCTAAAGTATAATAGTCAACTTACAAGACTGGAAACTTTAAATGTATATACGTATCTCAGCTGTATACCAGTCTGCTATCCTCTCAAATTAATTGAAAAATCTCATTACTGGGAGGTTTGTTCTCCCTGCCCACACACACATTTAAAAATCTCACACTTCAATATACAAATTGATCCCAAGGTAGGGAAATCAAAGAAGAAAGTTCATTTCAGGTATATTGCTGCAGAGTTGATCTGGGGTTTTGGTCTTTGCTCTACAGCATCGTTTACTGGCTTACTGCTAAACACTGGATTAGGTGGAAGAGTTCTGGTGTATCATCTGAACGCTTAAACGTAATCAGCTTTTGAAAAGACACTCTTCAGTTTTATGTATGGTATGAACAGTGGTGGCATAATGCATTAATGCAGTTCAGACCAAAAAAAATGTGTTTTCATGAAGCAGCAACCAATTTAAATTGTAGGACAAAGTCTTCTGCTCTCTGTGCAGGGGGAGATCAGAAAAGAACCTGGACCTACGTAACTCATTTTCTTCCCATTGTGTTTGTCCACTGAGCAGCTGAAGCACACACTTCCCATGCTGTTCCATTCATGCAGCCCAGCGTCCATTCAGAAACAGAACGTTTCCTTTAGTTGACGGATTAAAGGCAGGAGGGGGAGGGAGGAGTGTAAAAACGTTCGGGGATGTGCAGTACTTCAGGAACAACGTTTAAAGGTTAACTCACAATAAGTGTTTGTAATGTATTTTCTTTTACACAGCTTCAAAACAAAATAGGTGCTGCCTCTTAAATGAGCAAAAATAACTTCTTAAAAAAGTAAGACTGAATGCAGTTTTTTGTGCAATTGCTGAAAAATTAATGACAGGCTATTTTTAAGAATCAATCTTCTATCACACTGTCAATACCATATAAAAACTGAGTAAACAATTTTTTTTCCATGCCTTGACTAATCTAGTATTTCATTTTGGTAAGGTGAAATATGAACCTAGAATCAGTAACCTTAAAAAAACAGCAAGTAAACTCTTTAAGCAACTTTAAAGGTTATTGTTTGCTTTTCATCTTCACTTGCAGACCAGGTGTCTCTAGGAAAGCAAATCTGAGGAAAAGCTACTTCTGTTGGAGTCCCTTTGTGAACAAAACAGATGACATAAAGAGCAGGTGTTAAAATAGTGAAAAAGGCAAACAGCAGTTATTTTACAGGATGTTTAGCTGTGGAACAGCTAGAAAAAGTCAGGGTATTATAAAAGCATCTTATTTGGAAAGCTTTGCTCAAATAGAAGACACATTTCTCTGTCTCGTAAAACAGAAAATCTGCCTTTTGATCCCCCAAAGAATGGGTTAGATGCACTCATCCCATTCCTCTTGTAACTGGTTTCCCAGGGACTGACAGGAGGAAGCATAGTTTTTACTAAATAAGGATGCTGGAATTTGCTTAGTGGTTTCTGTTTACCTGATGCCACTTATGATACTGTGTTTGCCTACTTAAGTGGCATTTAGCGCTGGAGTCTTGTGGGTGATTTTACTATTTATGTTAGGAAATTGCCTAGCAGCTGGGTAGATTAGGCTGTATTACTTTGTGTGTTTTTCATCCTGCATTGCACATCTGTTAATGTTGGTCTTAACATCACAATAGTGAGCATTGTAAATTAATAAGTAGAAAGGTAAGTAAGTGGACAGAGTATGTTTGCCTGTGAGATTAAAAAAAACAAACAAACAAAAGCTACTGAACTGACATTATTTGGTTATCTTAGTTAAGAATCCTAAACCCAAAAAGACAGATTTACAGGCCCACACTGCAGCCCTTAAGTGCATGCATTTTGGATTTAAGCTTCAAGGTTCGTTTTCCTGTAGATGAAAACCCAGTGCTGTCTGCTTTCACGTGTGCCTTCTGTTCCTCACACACAAATTGACGAGCAGGTTCCCTTGATTATATCATGCTAGTTCTGTAACTTTGTAACTGATGACTGAACCCTAATACAAAATTATGTTATAGTCATGTAAGAAGTGGCTACTCGTCATCAAGAATTGTGAATTCTCGGTATTCGCAACGAGTATTTCTTTCTTTAAAAAAAACTCTTATGACATCACTTGAGCACCTATCTGGAGACACCATGTCAACTGCTCAGTTAAGTCCTCAAAATATTTATTGCTTAGAAGATAGGCATCTTGGTATGAGATGTAAACACTCATAAATCTACTATGCAATTAAACTATCACACTTTTTCAGGTACCAGTGAAGTAAAGGTTTATTAAATCAAAACCTATTGACCTGTATAGCATTTAGAATCAAGAAAGTTTCTTTAAAAATGTGGAGCAGTGATCAAGTTTATTCTGCAGTAATATTAAGAACCTATACAGTACACACTTTTTTCTGTTGTTTCAGGTATAATTTTACAAATGTTGCCATTTTGACAATAAACATGTCATTTTCCCTTAGTTACAATGGAGTTGCATTAAAGGAAGCTATGTGACATCTGCAACACCTTTTCCAGAATATTTTTCCCTTGATTATTGTATATTTGAGTGGAAATGTTACAGGATGCAAAGGATATCCGCTAATGAACTTTCTTGAAATTCTATCACTTCAGTAGGCTAATTTTCCTGCAAGTCAGACTTGCAGCCCTTTCTTGGGATTGCAGTTCTTTATCAGTGGGTCTTAATATGTTAATTTCTGCATGCACGTTTTGAAATCTTATTTCAAATAACATTTTTCAAACATGCCTTGGATAAAGATACATTCTGTATTCTTTAGATAGAGATACATAGCCCTTGTCAGTTAATTATAAACCAGTAGCTGGTTCTTTCGTGTCAGAAATTTCAGAAACATGCCTCGGATAAAGATACATTCTGTATTCTTTCATAGAGATACATAGCCCTTGTCAGTTAATTATAAACCAGTAGCTGGTTCTTTCGTGTCAGAAATTTCAGACATGCTCGCAGTTGGCCTGCGTATGCAATTACTGTTTGTCCAAGCAACTCACATGTAATGACAAACTGTAAAGCACCAGCTCTGCACAACAGTGCAGTTCTCTGTTCCTTTCTAGTCCGTAAAGTTATGTTCTCAGACTTCAAAACAACTTTCAGATTGAAAGATATTTCAAAAATTTAGTTTAAATTTTGTTAATTTAGAAACTGCCTGAAGAAAACAGTGCAATGAAATAGATGACAAGATAGTGCAAACGAGATTTTTAGAATTGAAATTATCCTACCTTCATTAGCCACTGAGTGTTGTTTTCCATGATGTTTTCAAGTAGTTGCAGTCTTTGAACCGAATCATCATAATCTAAAGGCGCATCCCTTTGCACTGCGTTGGGCACGTAGGAGGTGGACGATGGGCAGTTGTCTGTCTCGGGCAGAAGGAAGGTGTAGCTGCATGGCCCGTGCTGAACCTGGTACTGCTTCTTCCCTATCGCCTCCATGCTCTTACTAAAGGAGTTGTATCCTGAAGCTAAGAAAATACTGCAGCCCAAAAAGTAGTAACCAGTCAGCTGCATCTTAATTCCTGCGCTGACCCAGCAGCCCCGGGGTGCCGTGGTGCGCTGGCGAGAGCCCAGACCTAGCTAACCTGCGCCGGAGCCCAGCGCCCTGCTGCCATGTGCCGCCGGCCGAGGGCTGGGCTGTGCAGGGACCGTCCTGTCCCCAGGCTGCAGACCGGCCCGCTCCTCCTCCGCCGCCGTGCCCGAGCTGTCACAGGCCCTTGCAGCTGCGGGATGCGGCCCCCGAGCCCTTGAGGCTTCTTCTCCTCCTTCTTCTTCTTCTTCTTCTTCCTCCTCCTCCTCGCCCGTGGCGAGATTTTTGGGCGCCGGTACCCAAATCAATCACTTCCCTCCCCTTATATGATAAGTTGATGCGAGCAGGCAGACATGTGGAGTGGAGCTGCTCCTCCCTCCCGGCTCGGCCAGTGCCTTCCTGCAGGGGGGCGGGAACGGAGGGGGTCACTTGCAAAGCGAGCTGCAGGGAGAGCGCCCGTCCGGGCGCGGAGCGGCGCGGAGGAAACCCCGAGGAGGAGCTGGCGGCACTGGGACCCCTGCGGATTCCTGCAGCGCAGCTCTCATTAAGAAGTTCCTAGACAGAGCAATCAGTGCCGATAGCCTCCAACTATGCTTGTAAATTATTTGTGGCGGTAATCATTTTTAAGCACTGTCCAAAAAAAGAAAAAAGTTCCTGGGCTTGTTTGTTCTTAAAGATTGGGGTTTTTTTAAATGCACTGAACCAAGGTATAATTTTGTTTGTGTTTAATGTATTGTATAATTACGGAGAAAGACGTCGTCCTAAGCATACAAAAGCATTCTTGGGCACATCCTTGCAAAGAGAACAAGAGAGGGGTTTTAATTAGAAGTTTTGAGTTGAACACAGGCTTTGTATTTTACCAAATCTCTGATATGAACACTCATTTTTAGGCATGTCTTTCCAGAGTTAATTGTTTTCAAGCTTTTCTTTTTTTAATGCTTTTTCTGTCTGTATTAAATGGCTAACTTTGGAAGTGCTAACATCAGCAAGAGTTACAGATCACAAGTCAGCTGGGGCTGCAAGAGGGAATAACTGCACAGGCGGTGGCAGTAAGGCATGCCTCAGGAAGGGGCATGGCTGCACAACAGTTACCCCCTCAGCTCTCCCTAGCCCAATTCCATGCCTTTGGAAGTGGGAAATACCCATAAGAGGGGGGGGGGCCGGGAATCTAATAAAGTAAGTATTTGCAAAGTATATGTAAGAGTAAAAAGGAGCTTCCCCTGCTTCTCACTCCCATGTTCTCTGCAATGATCAGTGATCTCGAAAACGTGGAAAATTACTAACCAACTTGCCAAACCCTGGGAAAAAGCTGATTCCAGTGAAATTTTGGAAAAGTTTACTTTTCTGTTTTAGAAAATGTCTTCTTGAAACCAGCATGATAGGATACTGACTTCTGAAGACAAACTGCCTGAGAGTTTTACTAGGTCGGGATCTGGAAGCGATAGCTTTTTTCTTAATTAAAATAAACAAAGGGAATGCCATGCTAATCAAACTAACATGAATTACAGACCAACATTTGTTGTATACAAGGAAAATCCCAACATACCTTGGGATCTGTTAGGACAGTCTTTCTTACACAGCTTGCTGTATTTCATACAGTGTATTAATGTGGCTTTTACTTTTTCAACTGTGGAAATTGTGTTCAGGGGTTGTCAAAAATAGTTGTAGCAGCTCAAAGGCATGCCTTCCAATGTTGGAAGCTGTTTGTGATTCTTTACATAATACATAGTTACCTCTGGAAAAGAAAATCTCTAAAATCAAATTCTGGAGACTTCCAGAAAGGCTCAAATAATATTTGAACTGCTACTGGTGGAACCAATCTGTCAGATTTTCTTCCTGTGGAGGGTTCATCTATCATTGTTCGTCTTTCCAGCTAGACGAAATGAAGGAATATTTTTGAAACTTGGGATACAGTCAAGGTTATTTTCTAGAAAATAATATGTACAAATGTACATATTTGTAGGGTTTGGCGTATAAATTTTGCATTCTCCATCCCTTCAACTTTGTACTGCAATAGCAAAGCAAATTGATGTGACAGCTACCTGCATTGCTAATGAAGTCTCAAAAACTCTCCATAGTGATTTCTGCTTTTCAGTATGTTGAAGTCTTCAAAATAATGCTTAATTCCACATGAATACTAGTCTTTGCGAGGTAGTTGAGAGACCTACTATTATGTAATGAGGACAGCATGTAGGATTAGATTTATAGACTAGACTGTGAGAAGCGTTTCTAGGTATCTACCCAGACATTCAAAATCAGTATTACCTTTTATTTGAATAATTTGTATTAATTTTCTAAGTCCAATGAGAATTTTCTTTTGTGACTTGTACTTGTCAAAATTGGTCCGCTCCCTGCTGTCTTTTCTTCTCACAGCTATCTCAAAGAATATAGGGCCCTCAATAGAGTAGTGCTGAAAATAAGAATGAGCCAGCCCTGAAACCATCTCTCTTCTAAATGACAAGGAACTGGAAGATAATATTATTTTTTCTGATTATATTTTCATGCATTTTTTTTATCCCTTAAACATTAAAGGGAAACTTGAGACTGACGAGTGTAGCCTTTCAAGGGTTTTGGTTTTAATTATTAGACAACTACTCAAGGGACTCTGCATATATAAAAGACAGGATTTAATGAATGCTGATAATTCGTTAGTCAGGATTTCCATGAAAGGCTAGATTAAATCGACAGTTTTTGAATTGCTGTGAAGCTTGCCATGTGTGTGCCATGCTGGTGAGTCAGATGCCCAACGTAATCTGGCAGCTCAGTTTTGCTGGGTTTTTGAGGGGAGACTGGAGTGTCTCTAAAGGTTTGAACTGGAGTCTGTTTTCCTTTAGGGAAGGCCAATGCATGACCCCGGGAGGCCCTTGAGCTGTAATGGGGCCAGGAACAAAACTGAACTTGGAGACTGCCTAACAAGGCTTGCTGTATCTTGGACCTCCACTAGGGAGAACTCTGGTTGTAGGAATACTGGAAAGAGAAACTAGTTCACCTTTTACTGGTTTTTTGGCTGGGTTTGTTTTTCTGTGGGTTTGTTGGGGGTTTTTTGAATGAATGAATGAATGGCCGGTTGCTATGGCAGCTGTCAGCAGTTCAGGGAAAAGGTGTGGAAAGTGTAGGTTTTATTCTGAGAAGTGACAACACAAATGGAGGACCCTTACCAGCACAGCCGGTACCAGCAGTTAGCTCCTCTGCTCTGCTTCTCATCACCATGGTAATGTTTTCCCCAACTTTTCCCTGATAATTCCAGGTTGTAGGGGCAATAACTGGCAAACAACCCCCAAAACACACACACACACACACACACACACACACACACACACACAACTGAGGGAGGATTTTGCCGTTTCCCCATCTGAGTCCAATGGATGCATGTTGCTTTAATGAAGCGCTCTTTCCCACTGCCCAAGAAAGTTAGCGCGCGTTCACCTTGCCAACCAATTAAATATACATCCCTTTAACCCTTCCCTACCAGATAGTGCCGTATTTGGTGCATCTTCTGGAGCATTTGACTGTGATCCTTCACCCTTTCTATCCCTTTGGGAACAGCTTTCCCAGCTGTGGAGGAGGAAGTGGTCTTCTCTGCCTCCCCGGGGAGTCAAAGCCAGTCAGAGTTCAGGGGGAAAGAAAGTAGTAACAGCTAAATTTAGAAAGCTGGTGTGAAAAGTAAGGCAAGTTAAATGCATTTTTGTCCTTGAAAACTGAGAAGGAGGAAGGAAGATGCCTGGATACAGCCTTGTTACTGAGCCTCAGAGGCATGATAACAAGTCTGCTTGCAGGGCAGGGCTTATTCCAGAAAAGCTGAATGACAGGGAAGATCTGTCTCCCATCAGTTATGAGAGGGAACATCTCATTGTTAGACCTGTTGAAGTAGGAAGGAATGTAAATAATTTGGCATAGAATCTTATATATGCCAGTATGAAATTGAGTACAAAGTTGTAAATCAGACCAGTTGCTTCCTCTCAGTGTTTTTTTCATGTTCATTGTTCTCTTCGTCTTTTATTTCTGAGGTAGATACAGAGTGGTACATTTATTCTGCAAACTGAAATATTGCTGCTTAGCCTGTGATTTCCTGCGTGCTTCATAGCTGAGTGTATATAATATTTGACATAAAATAGCAAATAGTGGCTCGGGACCTTTTTAGAAAGAAGATACCCACTCTACAAAACTCACCTTATAAGAAGAGCTGAAATGTATATTTGTCAAAACTAAACATTTAGAACGTTTTGCCAGTTGTGTTGCAGGCAATTTCCTTTCCTGGGAAACAGTAAATTCCCTTACTCAGCCAATCCTGTTTTTATTCCATACAGCATATGACTAAGCGGCTTTGAGGGAGACGCCTGAATACCACTAACATTATCTTTCCAATTATCATTTTACTTAGAGCTGCACAGCTTCTGTTTGACAGGCAAATACAGAGATCTTGTGAGATCTCTGATAGAGAAGGAAGCATAGAAGTTTTTGAGGTAATGTAAGGAAATGTTGACTTGGCTTTAGTCTGCTCTCTGCTGACTTTGCCACCTAAGACTTTCAAGATGTTGCTTTAGTAGATAAGAAAGTTCTCATTTCAGCAGTTGTCTTGTTTTAGCAAGGGAAAATACATAATGAAATATATGCAAAATAAAGGCAGAACAATGTAAACAAGCAGGTTTTGGTGCTGCATTCTTGTAGGGATATTTGATCTACATATATAAATGACAGTGCTGTACTGTAATAATATGGAACTTGAAAATCAAATCTGAGATGAAAAATTATCTGAAACTTGGAATAAATCAGTGAAGTATTTTATACATTCCTGGTATTTGCATTCTTCACATTTTGACACTCAATGTTAGTCTCCACCTTTGATTCCTGGTACTTTTAAATTAGTTTATGGTAGTTCCATTTGCTGGCTTCAAAATATTATCTTTCACTGGGAGTATTTTAGCATGTTTCTCAGGAACGAATGTCAACAAGGACAAGACTCATGAACTCATAACTTGAAAAA